GTTTTTTCATTGAGGAAGAATTTGTAGGAAAATTTCTTTGTGTTGAAGTTTTTAGCGCGTCCGTTGTTAGCAGTTAGACGGCACAATCCCAGCCACATTCCCAGTGGCATTAGACAAACTGAGGTCTGAGATCTGTTTTAGTTGACATTATACTGACTGCATCCCAGCCCCATGCCTGCTAGAATGGCATAGATGATTATCAATAAATGTGGAAGATAGAGGTTGCGGTTGCACCTGTTGTCATGCAGTGTCTTTGTTAAGATACCAAAGTTGCAGAAGGGGAGAAATGAATTATTAAGTAAGCATTAGGTTCAGAATTTTTCTATTCCTACCTTCTTCATTAGTCATTTGAAAACTATTTACCAGTTAACTTTTTTTTTTGAAATTTAGTTGTACTATTACTGTTCACAAAGCCTGAACTAGCACCCGTAGTTCAATTCTGTATTCTGAAGCTAACTGGAAAATTAACTTGGGAGAGGCACACTTCTTAACCTTTAAACTGACAATAGTGCCAATATATTGGAAAACTCCAAGGGTGAGAACAGCCACAAAACAGGCATTTGATTATATTTCAGAAACTGTGCACTGAGTACAGATGGAGACTTGGGAAGCGGTTGTGTAGCTTTTCTGAAGCTGGGATAGTTGAATCCATTCAGATTTCAGACTCTAGTAGGGATCCTCAACCAACTCTGAATAAAGGGCTCGTAGCAGAATGATTGGTTACTTATTACAAATCCTAACAATTCCCAACAGAGTGAGTTCTAGTCTTACTTTCAAAGAAAATCCCAGTGTATCTTGAATTATGGGAATACTATTATGAATAATAATAATTCATAATAATATATGAATAAGGAAAACATTTACATCCCTGGAGAAGTACAGGGAGAAAATAACAGATATTTGCTTTCTCTCTGAGAATAGATGAGGCAACTTAGTATTCATAATCCTTTTCAGGGCAAATCTGTGTTTGTGGCCTTGATGAAAAATTGAATGGGACTTGTAATTGAAAGTAGCCGATTGAAAACTTTTCATTTTCCACACCCCTCTCTCTGTATGCTAGGCTACCTACTGTTTTTTATAGTGTCTTAATTTTCCCATCTATAAAATGGGGATTGTATTAGTTTGCTTTGGGGCATAATGAATTACCACACATTTAGCAGCTTAAAGCAACACCCATCTATTAGCTCATGTTTCTATTTTTTATTTTTTTATTATTATTTTTTTTATCCTCACCCGAGGACATTTTTCCATTTTTTGTGCTGATAGAGTGGGAGGGAAAAAGAGGAAGAGAGAGAGAGAAACATCGACATGAAAGAGACACATCGAGTGGCTGCCATCCACATGACCAACCAGGGCCAGGGACAAACTGCAACCGAGGTACATGCCCTTAGCGGGAACCGAACCCGGGTCTCTCCAGACCGCAGGCCAACGCTCTAACCGCTGAGCCAAACCGGCCAGGGCTTGCTCATGTTTCTATAGGTCAGAAGTCCTGAGAAGGCATGGCTGGGTTCTCTACTCAGGTCTCACAAAGCTAAAATCAAGGTGTCAGTATGACTGTGATATAATCTGGGGCTCGGGGTTTCTTCCAAGTTCATGCAGTTGTGGCAGATTTCAGTTCCTCGTGGTTGTAAGACTGAGGATCCATTTCTCTGCTGGCTGTTAGCCGGGGCCATTCTCAGCATCTGGAAGCTGCCCACATTCCTTCCGGTGTGGCTTCCTCCATCGTTAAAGTCAGCAACAGAAAACCTCCCTTATGGCAAGTCCCTTCGAGGCTTCAAAGCCCCTTTGCCAGTAAGAGCCGGGATCCTTTTAGGAGCTCGCCTGACTAAGTTAGGTCCACTGAGGATAATCTCCCTTTCTTAGAGTCCACTGATTTGGGATCTTAATTACATCTGCAAAATCCCTTCACAGCAGTACCTAGATTAGTATTTAGTCGAATGCCTGGGAGAAGGTGTATATACCAAGGGGTGAGAATCTTGGAGTGTTAGGATTGTCTTAGAATTCTAACACAGGGATAATAATAATAATGCCTTAAGGATTGCTCAATGGATTGAGATATGTGTGTAGAGCACTTAGTATAGTACCTAGTGTTCTGAGTCTCCACAAATGGGATCTAGTATCATTAACATCTATATACACTCCATTTTCCTGCCTATATGGATTTTTACAAAAATTTGTTTTTGAAAAAAGATTTTTTATTGATTTTTAAAGAGAAGCGGAAGAGAGAGAGAAACCAATATGAGAGCAACATCCGCCTGCAAACCCAGGCATGTGCCTCCGCTGGGAAGTGAAGGGGCAACCCTTCAGTGCACGGGACAATGCCCACAGGGCGGATTTTTGAATTATATTATTATAAGCACATTGGAAACACACTGGAATATGCTGCTCATTATTTGGATACTCCACAAAAAAACAGAGATACTGGGGCCACCGGCAACAAACACAGAATCCAATGTTTAGTCTATTTGTTGAAAGTTGATATATGTTTTCAAATTATTTAAAAACACTGCAGTTAAAAAAAAGAGAGAGACCAGGATATCATTTATATTGGTGCCCATATATAATGTGTCATAAAAAGAAATATGAGTCTCTGCATTGTTCATTTTTTTTTTTTTTTTTGCTTTTTAATAAGAAAAATGCATCGCAGAATCCATGTCTTGAACACTGGCATTTTTCAGAAAGAATTGTTTTGTTTCTCCTCATGCTCTGAATATAAAATGAATACTTTAAATGCTCCCTTCACACAAAGGCCTTTATGCCCCCTTGCTCCCTTCAATAGTTCCAGTCTAGAATAGGCAACATTATGCAACGTGGTGATCCAGCGACAACAATGAGAATGCTTCTTACTGACTGTGGGAAGAAAGACACCTAAGGGGTTAACAGTAATATTTTGCAAATTGAGGCAAGTGAAGGGGGAAAAAAAAAGCTATTAGCATAAGAAAAGGTAGCCTTAGGGGATTTTCCACTCAAATGTTTGGTACTAAGAGCTCTACTTTACCAAGGAGGAGGATGGAGAAGAGAAACCCTAGTGTCTATGCATTCTTAAAATGCATTGCCTTTGTATTCATTCTCCTGGAGAGCAAGACCTCATAGTTATAGAGATGGAAAGTGGTTCTCTCTGGTGAGGAAAGTCAAAATTGGATATATTAAGAAAAGCATCTTGAGTCAAGTGTGGCAACAAAGCAAAAGGATTCCTCAGTGATCTATCCCAAAAAGATTTCCTAAGTATGTCAGGGCTAGACTAGAGGAGGGTTTGAGATTAAAAGTGAAGCATTAAAAATGATTTTGTGAAATAGAATGGGCCCCGAATGTCTAAAATTAATTTAAGTCAAATTTAACAATTTTGAAGTTATTCAGAAATTGTGTCTAGTTCATAGTATCTGAATGTAGTTAGCAGATATTTCCCTTTTATTAATGCCTAGACTTTAAAAAAAAAAAATGGCTTAATAGTCCAGCTGGTGTGGCTCAGTGGTTGAGCATCGACCCATGTACCAAGAGGTCACCTGTTCCATTCCCGGTCAGGACACATGCCCAGGTGGTGGGCCGAATCCCCATTGTGGGGCATGCTGGAGGCAGCCAGTAGATGTTCTCTCTTATCAATGTTTCTATCTCTCTCTCCCTCTCCCTTCCTCTCTCTCTCAAATTAATAAAGAAAGAAAAGTTTTTCACTGATATAGCATCCCATACCCATATAAACAATGCATACTAAAATGGAAGTGAAACCCATTTGCTAATCCATATTATTGTTTCCCAAGCCTGGTATGGAAAACTCAGAAATGATTACACACCAAAACCCTTTTCAATATAAATTTGACACCTCTATTCCCCATGTTTACACCTAAGATGTGCCATCCACTGGCTAGTTCCCAGGGGGAGAAGGGGGCAGTATATACAGGCCCCTTATTCAGTGATAACAGATCATTTCCAGGTACCTCAGAGGGTGTGGGATTATGTTTTAATGTGGAAACTGGTTCTAAGCTGCCAATATTTTATCAATATTCCAAATTATGCTTTCTGAAAGGAGTTTTCAGATCTACACGTTACCACAGTTATCTATGTATAATCCAGCTCTTTCCTACATTATCACCACCACATTTTCTAATGCCGTGATGGTAAACGGAAAAGACCTCAACTGTTTGAGTCGAAATGATAAACAGTAGTTTCGAATGCCTGTTTATTTAGACACGGAACCATACAAAGAGAAAGGAGCTCAGAGATCACTGACAAGACTTCTTGCTACCCAGCATCTGTCATTTCACAGAGAAAGTAAAGCACATAGGGTCATATTTATTTCACTTTTTGTATTTTTTTTCTCAGTTCAGGAATCAAAATTGAAACAGAATTATAGATACAGGGAACAGACTGATGGTTGCCAGATGGGAGGGAGTTGGGGGGCTGGGTGAAAAAGGCGAAGGGATTAAGAAGTACAAATTGGTAATTACAAATAGTCATGGGGATGTAGAGTACAGCATAGGGAATATAGTCAATAATACTGTAATAACTATGTATGGGGCCAGGTGGGGACTGGAAATATCAGGGGGAGCTCTTTGTAAAGTATACGACTGTCTAACCACTATGCTGTACACCTCAAACAAATACAAAATAATGTTGAATGTAAACTGTAATTGAAAAATAAATGAAATGTACTTTTGATAAGGTGAGTCTTTATAGTGCAAATTTAACTTTGTTTAGGGAAAATTATGCCCAACTATAAATGAGACAATTGACCACCTATTTTCTTCTCCAAAGAAAAAGTGGTATTGTTGTAAGTTTAGTTATGTGCTTTGTATATGTACTTATTCAAAGAATTTGAATGGTGTAGTACTTTTAGATCAATAAATTTTGAAAAAATCAAAGCACCATCTTTGTTTAACTGAATTTACCATTTCCTCTTTAATTTCTCATCCTGACTTCTCTTTTGATTCGGAATGCAGACCCTTAGACATGTTGGTGCCTATTTAACTTGGAATCAGGGTACATTAATTTTCTTCTTTTTACAGCATAAAGAACTAAGTCGAGCTGCTGTTGATGTAATAAGCCACAGATATCAAAACCCATGGTAAGCACATATGAATACATTTTAATTAATTAGTTTCCTTCCTAAATTAATAAAAAGGTTAATTTTTTTTAAACTTGTAAGTATATTAGCACTCTATTTCTTTTTTTATTCATAATAAACAAAAGTTTCACCACCTATAGATTTTAATTAAGAGTAGGAAATGGGCAAAGTAAGCACAGAGTATAGGGGAGAAAAAGAAGACCCGCCTACAGCAATTAAGAACAGCCCACTGGATGAGTAGTATAGCTTTAACTACATAAATACTGCTTTCAGTGGAAAACAACAATATAATTGTTTTGGTTAAGAAAAAAAAGAACGAAAGAAAGAAAAGCTCATTTCATGCTGTTGGCCTAGAAACCATTATAATGGGTAATCTTGGTTAATAAACGTAATCCTACTGAAGTCACACAATGGCTTGAATTCACACGATCTCAAGGCAGCCTCTAACCTGAGTTAAACATGTCTGGCTCCATGTATGTTAAATTACAGGAAAAGGCCCTGGCCGGTTTGGCTCAGTGGTTGGAGCATCAGCCTGTGGATCAGAGAGTCCTGGGTTCGGGTCCCGCTAGGGGCACGTGCCAAAAAAAAAAAGAAAGAAAGAAAATTACAGGAAAAGAGCAAACGTAGGCTTGTCATCTAGATGTAATGTATAATTCGGATTCCTAAGAGGGGAAGAATTGATCAACCCTGCTCTTACCAGGTTGCAGATTTAGTAATGTCTTGGTTGGCTGTAGCTTTTTGGAGGCAAGGGTTTCACCTCATTTTCCCCTGTTGAAGGATACAGCATTAGAATGTGCAAAATGAGTGGATTTTAGTCTCTTTCTGCTATACCACAACAACATAAACTGCACCAAAAAGAGACTGACCCTCAACCTCCACATCAAAAGTCTATTAGTTACTCCAACACAATCTCAGGACAACAAAAGATCTCACTGGGCAATTTCTATAACTTATGCATAAAGCATATCCTATGTTTAAAACCATAGAGAAATAGTTATAATTATTGCATGCAAAACACACGTTCTCATTAAAAGACCCACTTTGTTTATTCAGATAATATTGCAAGCATCTACCTACAAATATGCTATCAAATATTTCCAAACCAAAAAAGAAAAAAAGAATAAAGACCACTGAAAATCAAAGAAACTTCAACAAGCATCATGGCTCTAAGTGTGAAAGTTTGCTGCGTTTATTTAAACATAAAAAAAAAAACTTGTTAGAAAGTATCTGAGAAATATTGAAGCTTGGAACATTTCCCATGGATGAAAGAATGTTGGCAACATCATTTCTGGGGAATATGATACAGATTGCACCAGGTCATGAGGATTCAAACGTTTATGAAATAGACTTTGTGCTTTGGGGATTACAGATTCAATTGGGAAATTGGATGTGCATATATGTCCAATTGTGTATACACACACACACACACACACACGGAGAAAAATGACAAAACTCAATATGTTGAGTGACAAATTAATAATGAGGACAATTATAACTAGAAAAGTTTAAAACTGTTTTTAGTAGATTGATGACCCCCTAGACTCATCAGTGGCCTCTGGCTCGGGTCCTATTTGTAACCAGTTCAGATGTCAATAACCTAAATGCTGCCTTCCTTAGAGATGTGAAGCACATCCAACTGCTTGAAAAGCTGGGCAGATGCTCCTGAATAAGATTTGACCAGCACAGGCCCAGGAGTGCCCCACCCCCTTGCATTCTCTAAGTGCGACTGAAGGCTGTCTCTTTCCTGGGCAAGGTCAGGGCTTAGCCTCCCAATTAATTTTCATGTTCCGTCCTTCTTAGTCAACAGCCGCCATTCATTAAATCCAGCACGTCCTGTGTTTGAAGCAATGCTAGATTCCGTGGACACAGCGGCAAACAAAAGTCTATGCCCTTCTGGGAACTTGTATTCCAGGAGAGGGGAGAGACATTGAACAAGTAAATGACTTAGGAACATTATACTGTATTTCATGCTTTTAAATATGTTTTTTAAAGTACAAATATAATTCATGCTTGTGGCAACAAATCAAAATAATATAAGAGGTGTATCAAGAAAAAGTTTATATTCTGCCCTATTCCATTCAGTTCACGATGAAACATTTCGTTACAAAGGGTGCCTACGAGGTGTAAAGAGAAGGTTTCACTAGGGGCATCTCCCTGGACTGAGGGTCGGAGCAGTGTTCACTGAGGATGTAATTATTAAGCTGACTTCGAAAGGTGAGGCTAAGCAGAGGGAATGTGTGCTCAAGGCTCCAAGCTAGGAGTGAGCATATCGAATTAGGACCAGTGCAGCTGGGCTACAGAGCAACGGGAGGGTAGCAAGACGAGGGTCCGATGTTGTAGAACCTCGTGTCCAGATTAGAGAATTCAGATTTTAATCTAGGAACAGAGAATTTATTAGAAGATTTAACATGATTCAATTTTTTTTTCATAAGATCCACGGGAGTATTGGGGTGCTGGGCGGACAATAGTGAAAGGTGACAGGAACAGTCATAGGAAGATCAGCCAGGAGACTGTTTCATTTTGAATAGGCCCATCTTCAGTTTTCAGTGTGCTTTGCAAATGAGCCAAGATAAATAGTGATTATGGAGGGCTGTGGGAAGGAAGAAGAATTTGATTGAGCTTTCAAAGAAATGTGGCCTTAAATACATGGGGAAATGTTGCTGTAATGATGGGGAGTTAGAATGTGTTCAGTACTGTGATGAAGCAGTTTTTAAGATCATCTTAATTGAATTTCAGAGGCTGAGTTACAAGCCCAAGAGTCACAGAGCTAACATTTCAGTCCAAGTTGACTGATTCCATTAATATGGGTTGGGATCTGGGCTTGGACATTTTATTTATTTATTTATTTATTTGTTTATTTATTTATTTATTATCCTCACCTGAAGACATTTTTCCATTTTTTGTTCAGATAGTGTGGGGTGGGGGGAGAGAGAGAGAGAGAGAGAAACATCGATGTGAAAGGGACACATCGAGTGGCTGCCTCCCGCATGACCAACCAGGGCCGGGGACAAACTGCAACTGAGGTACGTACGTGCCCTTAGCGGGAACCAAACCCGGGTCTCTCTGGACTGCAGGCTGATGCTCTAATGGCTGAGCCAAACCAGCCAGGGCTGGGCTTGGACATTTTAAAAGGGCTCTCCAACCCTGGCCAGTTTGGCTCAGCAGTTAGAGAGGCGGCCCATGGACCAGAGAGTCCCGGGTTCGGTTCCCACTAAGGACACGTACCTTGGTGGCGGTTTATCCCCAGCTCTGATTCGGGTCGTGTGGGTGGCAGCCAGTCTATGTCTCTCTCACATTGATGTTTCTCTCTCTTTCTTCCCCCCTCTCTCCCTCTCGCTCGATCTGAAGATAAATGCAAAAATGTCCTTGGGTGAGGATTAAATAAGAGAATAAAATAAAAGGGCTCTCCAGGTGATTGGGGTGTGCAACCAGGACTGAGCACCACTAGTGAAGACTGAGAAATGATGGAGACTGAGCCTTGGCAGGGGGGTGGGCTGACCCACTGAGGAGAAGATGAATGAGAGCCACTGAGGGGAAAGAGGAACCTAACGCAGGGCCCTTAAGACAACAGAAGGCTAGGAAAAGCCATTGAAGGATTTTGAAGAGGGGGGATTAATACAAGGAAATGGAAATCCAAGGAAACAATAACAGACAAATATGTGGAAACTGTCAGTGGTCTGAGAACAAGCACTGTAGGAAGAGTAGGATGATTGGAGTCAATACAACCAACACTGAAGAGATTCTGTCTGGTGACCCGATGGAGGCCAAGCCCACAGTGTGTTTGAGGTTAGAAGCCCAGCAAAGAACAATGACAGGATTTCCTCCATTCAGAGACATACTTTTTCAATTTTAACTTTCTTGAAATCAGGATATGTTTTATAATAGCTGTTTACAAATGTACAAATCTGGCGCCTCTGTTTTTTCCTCCCATGTAAATCTGTTGTTAAATCAAGGGCGTGTTATACAATTTATTGCATCCTAAAGACCAATAAAGGTATAAACAAACATGAAATGAAGACCTGCTACTTGCCAGGTGCTCAGAACTTTAAAAATTAATAAGCCGATTCCTTACTCTCAAATAGCACACAGACTTTCGGGACAAACCTGTGCAAAGAGAAGATTTCGATACAAGGTACATGGATGGAGAATGATCGCAGTGACTGGCTGTAGCTTGACTCTTGTTTTTTTTCCTTCTGACTGGAAACATCCTCTTGTTTTAAATAACTTAAGTTTCTCTGGACATGTGACCTGATGATTAACTCATTTTTATACAGTCTTTTTTGTTGGCAATTGGTGTTTTCCAATATATCCATACAGTATTTCTCATTTGAACAAGAAGAATAAAAAGCACACATAGGAAATGAAAAAACAGTTTATAGGTAAATTAAAAGAGGTCATAAGAGCAAAGTACTGCAGCAAATCAACAGGGCTTTTTGTTTTTGTTTGAAGATGTGAGTACATTCTGCAGAAGTTACACACCATTACTGAAAATTGGGAAGCATGGAAATACCCTGTTTTCTTTTTTCCCCCTTGACACAGTACTTGGCAAAATGGGGCATTCAATACACATTTGCGAATCCCAGTTCCTCTTGTGGTCAACGGCGCACATTGGTATCTTTCTGGCTGGAGAAGCTGAAGGAGTTCAAATCACGATGCCTTCCTGAGAGAGATCAAATTTAAGCTGATTTTAGAAAGAATATTTTAGGAAAATCTCTGGCTGTCCACTTGGGTGAATTTTGTATCCATGCGAATGAAAGAGTTGCTGAGATGATGAAACCAATGGAATTATTCAGGGGGAAACATCATCCTCTGACCTAATGTCAAGACAAAGTTGTCTCTTTGCCAACTGGGGGCTTGAGATATTTGCCACTTAGTTGCCAATTTATTGACTTGTTTTAGGAATAATGTCTTAAGGAACTCTTCCTGTGATCGGCCATTGTCATTAGATGGGGGTGTCAAGGAGGCTGTAACCAAGGTAAGGACAACCAGACTGGATTTCA